TTACTGCATTATTTTTAACTTTCAGTGCATTCTTATTTTCAATGTTTTAGCTTTTACTGCATTATTTTTAACTTTCAGTGCATTCTTATTTTCAACTTTTTAGCTTTTAGTGCATCCTTATTTTTAATTTGTAGTCCGTTATTTTCAATCTTTTAACTTTTAGTGTATTCTTATTTTTAACTTTTAGTGCATTTTTATTTTCACCTTTTTCGCTTTTAGTGCATTCTTATTTTCAACGTTTTAACTTTTACTGCATTCTTGTTTTTAACTTTTACTGCATTCTTATTTTTACTTTTAGTGCATTCTTCTTTTCAACTTTCTAACTTTCAGTGCATTCTTCTTTTCAACTTTTAATGAATTCTTAATTTTAACTTTTAGTACATTCTTCTTCTCAGCTTTTTTAACTTTTAGTGCATTTTTCTTTTCAACTTTTTAAGTTTAACGCATTCTTATTTTTTGCTTTTTAACTTTTACTGCATTCTTCTTTTTAACTTTTACTGCATTTTTCTTTTTAACTTTTACTGCATTCTTATTTTCAACCTTTTAACTTNATACATATGGTTTATTCTGTTATCTGGGGCATGAAAATGGTATTTTAACCAAAGCTCCTCATAGGTAAATATAGAAATAATTTTCTTTTTCTTCGTGGTTTATTCTGTTATTTGGGGGGCACACAAACAGTCCAGGAATGCTGTGCTCCTCAGAGGTAAATAGAGAAATGATTTTATTTCTATATTTTGTATATTGTGGTTTATATTTTTTATATTATATAAATATATATTTATATGTGTATACGTGGTCTCTCTATATATATGGTATATATACTTTATATATATATACATATGCTTTATTCTGTTATTTGGGGCATAAAAATGGTATTTTAACCTAAGCTCTCCAGTGGTAAATATGTAAGTAATTTTATTTCTGTATTATATATTTATATATTTTTATATATATTATATATATGGTATATATATGGTATATATGTATATGTATGTGTATATATATATATATATAACATTTTATTCTGTTATTTGGGGGGCACACAAACAGTCCAGGAATGCTGTGCTCCTCAGAGGTAAATAGAGAAATGATTTTATTTCTATATTTTATATATATATATTGTGGTTTATATTTTTTATATTATATAAATATATATTTATATGTGTATATGTGGTCTCTCTATATATATGGAATATATATTATTTATATATATATATATGTATAAATATATGTATATGTATATATATATATATGCTTTATTCTGTTATTTGGGGCATAAAAATGGTATTTTAACCAAAGCTCTCCAGTGGTAAATATAGAAGTAATTTTATTTCTATATTATATATATATGGTTTATATATTTTTATATATTATATATATTATATATATGTATATATATACATATATATATACGTATATATATGCATATGCTTTATTCTGTTATTTGGGGCATAAAAATGGTATTTTAACCAAAGCTCTCCAGTGGTAGATATATAAGTAATTTTATTTCTATATTATATATTTTATATATATATATATACACACCATATATATACACCATATATTTTATATATATATATATATATATATATATATATATATTCTGTTATTTTGGGGCCCACAAGCACTCCAGGAATGCTGTTTTAGTGCTGTTTTAGTGCTGTTTTAGTGCTGTTTTAGTGCTGTTTTCCCCCTGCTGATGATTCCCTGCTGCTCCCCAGCCGCTGCTATGACGGGAGCACCCCAGTGCACGCAGCTGCGTTT